TGGGGACGCTGGTGGTGGGGACAGTGGTGTGGGGACAGTGGGAATGTGGTGGAAACAGTGGGACAGTGGAGGGTACAGTGGTGGTGGGGACAGTGGTGAGGGCGGTGGCCAGGACGGCGGTGGGACAATGGGACAGAGGTACAGTGGGGACAGTGGTGGGGACGGTGGGGACAGTGGTGGGAACAGTTGGACAGCTCAGTGGGACAGCGGAGGAGACAGTGGGACAGTGGGGACAGTGGGGATAGTCGGGCAGTGGTTGGGGCCGTGGAGAAAGTGGGGAGAGTGGAACCGTGGTGGGAACAGTGGTGTGGACAGTGGGGACAGTGCGACAGTGGTGGGGGCACTGGTGGGGACAGTAGGGACGGTGGTGGAACCAGTGGGGACAGTGGTGGTGAGGACAGTGGTACTGGGAACAGCAGTGGGGGATGTGGTGCGGACGGTGGTGGTGACCGGGAGTCGTTTGCTGGCGGTGGCGGTGAGGGGGGGGGATGGTTCGGACCGGTAGTGACCGCCCCCCCTGGTTTTCGAGGAGGGGGGGGGGCGGGGTTCGAACCGGTAGTGACCCCCCCCGGATTTTCGAGGGGGAGGGGGGGGGTTCGAACCAGTAGTGACCCCCCCCCCCTTTTCTGGAGGGGAGGGGTGGGTGGGGGGGGGGGGTAGGGGAGAGGGGGGGTTTTGCCGGGGGAAGGGGGGGGGGTTCAGCAGGGGGGGATTTTCGGAGGGGGGGGGACCCCCGGGGTCCGGAGGAAGGGGGGGGGGATTTTCCACAGTAAAGCGGCGGTGGATCACGCTCTTTCAGAGGTCTGGACTCCTTCTTCCCGGGGACTGGTGTTTCATCCCGGGTTGTTTTTTGACGGTCCCGAGGCCCGGCGAGGGCCTCCAGAGGCCGAAAATGGTGAAAGCCTCTCCCGTCGTGCTTTCTTCGTAGCTCGAGGGGGGGTCTGGGTCGCCGGGTCGCCCTCCTCCCTGGCTCCGGTGCGGCTGGGCCCGCCTCGCTGCCGCCAGCTCCACGGGCCTCCCCGCTGCCCTTGGCAGGCGGCCGGCCGCTGCCGCCCCGCCCCGCCGGGCGCCGCATCGCCTCGCCTGCCCAGGGCCCGCTGCCCTGCACCCCTGCGCCGCTCCTGGGGCCACTGCTCGGGGGCCCCTCGAACGGGGTGGTGGCCACACCTCAGGAGGGAATAACACACACACAGAGACACAATTCAAAGTACATCCGCCGGAAGATATGGGAAAATATAGGACGGGGGGGGAAGACGAACACCCAGGAAAAATATGGGAAAATAGGGAGAATCCTGGGATTTGTGTGTTTCTATTTGTGTGCCCCTGGGCCCCTTCAATACCAGGTGGTGAGTCGGTGGGGATTCGGGTTCACCGCACGGTTTTGGGACTTGTGTCGTTCTCTGAGGATGTCTCGGGCGACTGGAGCCTCCAGGGTCTCAAAACCGTGTGGTGACGGACCGTGCGCTGAGTCTTTGCGGGTTTCGAGGTCACTGCCGGGTCTGTCACCGCACGATTTTGGGACCCCCCAGCTGCCCCGTGAGGGGTCGGCCGCTTCTTTCTTTCCTTTGTTTTTTTGGCTATGGGGCTCTCGCGCGATGATTCTCCGCGCGCGGGGTGGACGGTGAGGAGGTGCCCCCTCCCGCGACGACCGAAAAGTGTGTGTGAGAGAGAGTGTTTCTCTGCAGGATGCCGAAGCCCTACTAGACAGCCATTGGGATTCTTCCACGCCTCACCGTGCAAAAAGCACAGTGGCGGACATCGTATACTTTTCTTCATGAGTTCGGGAATTATGATTGCCCCCCTGGTTCTCAAAGAGTTATGAGGGGTCATTCAATCGCTGGTGCTGATTTGCACAGACCCAGGAGCTTACTTCTTACTCCATGGTCGCTCCACTGCCATAATGTCCTTAGTCTGGTCCAACATAATTCCCTTCCCATTCTCATTCAAGTCGGTCCCAGAGCCTACCGAGACAAACTTATAATGCCAAAGCAGCATGCGTCTTATGGAATCGACGAATATGCGTTCTACAGTGTTCGTGTGTCAAGACGGACTCCCAAACTAGTTGCGTCGCGCCATTGTATCCATCAGCCTAGCAGTTGTCCTGTGGTCCTGTGTAAGCCGTGGTCGATTTGTGAAGGGTGGGGGGCCCTTAAAAGGAGCACCTGTCGTTGGGAGGGTGTGGATCTCGAATTGTTGAGGAATAGAGGGGTCCTGAGAGGGAGTCGGCATGGAGTCGAGGGTGTCGGGGGGAGGAGGCGAGGAACGTCGAGCGCGATGATTTGCGGTGCCAGAGCCCTCGCCGAATCTGCCTCTGCCGACAGGGCAGGTCGCCGACCGAGAGGGCCCTGCTCTCCCTGCGCACGTTTCGTGCCCCTCGCCCGCCCGCCGCGCCTGCCGGCGAGCGGGTGTGCTTTCAGATGCCAATCCGGTCCTGCAGTCGGACCGAGGCATCAGACCGAGCTCTGTTCGGGGAGGGTGCCCCGATGTTCACATCTGCGTTCGACGTCCACTCCTCTCGGATCTCCCTGTCCGCATCCCCCTCATGTCCCTCCCCCTTTCTGCTGTCCCTGGACCGCGGGGCTCACCGCGCACCGCGCACCGCGGGGCGTGCACGGTGCGGAGTCGGGCAGCTCCGGCCGGGTGCCGTGACCGCCCTCGGCGCGCGATGGAGGGGAGGCTCCTGCTCCTCCGCCTCCTCCTCCTCCCTCCTCCCTCCTCCCTCCTCCCTCCTCCCTCCGCCTCCTCCTCTTCCTCCTCCTCCTCCTCCTCCTCCTCCTCCTTCCCCCCTCCTCCTCCTCCTCCTCCTCCTCCTCTCCTCCTCCTCCTCCTCTCTCTCTCCTCCTCCTCCTCCTCCTCCTCCTCCTCCTCCTCCTCCTCCTCCTCCTCCTCCTCCCCCCTCCCCCCCTTCTCCTCTCCCCCTCCCTGGACCTTTCTCCCTTGCACAGGCGTCCGGCTCTGGCCAGCACCTGGGCGACGTGCGACTCCCGCTGGAGCACATCGCGCGCCGGTGCCCTCCGCTCTCTCTCTCTGTCTCGGCCCGCTGGTTTCTGCGAGGTCCAGGGGGTGTTGGAGGTGTTCGATTTGTTATGTTGTTGTTCCTGCATTTTTTCATTGTCGCAACGGGGTTCATATTACGTTTTTCTTTGTTTCCGTCGTACACTGTTCGTATCAGCCATGTGGGTAGATCTGCCAACTTTCAGATCGGCCGTGTCTCTTTGCGAGTGACGCGAGGACGCACGTGGCGTCCCCGAATTTTCCTCGGAGGCCAGAGCTGCGTTCCAGCTGGTGGCCTGCTTTTCTTGCGCATCGTTTTTTCCCAACCATCCTGTGGTGTTGGGTCCTCGTTTTGAAGAGACAGCGCCCCGCGTCCCACCTTCTCCTCCTCCTCTCCTCCGTGCTGCCGTCCGCATGCGTCCCGCACACCCATTTCGGCACACCCCTCACACGTTTCGTGGCCCCATAGGGAGCTCCACCGAAGGCCCCATGGCTGCCGTCCGCATGCGTCCCGCACACCCATTTCGGCACACCCCTCACACGTTTCGTGGCCCCACAGGGAGCTCCACCGAAGGCCCCAGTGCTGCCGTCCGCATGCGTCCCGCACACCCATTTCGGCACACCCCTCACACGTTTCGTGGCCCCATAGGGAGCTCCACCGAAGGCCCCAGTGCTGCCGTCCGCATGCGTCCCGCACACCCATTTCGGCACACCCCTCACACGTTTCGTGGCCCCATAGGGAGCTCCACCGAAGGCCCCATGGCTGCCGTCCGCATGCGTCCCGCACACCCATTTCGGCACACCCCTCACACGTTTCGTGGCCCCACAGGGAGCTCCACCGAAGGCCCCAGTGCTGCCGTCCGCATGCGTCCCGCACACCCATTTCGGCACACCCCTCACACGTTTCGTGGCCCCATAGGGAGCTCCACCGAAGGCCCCATGGCTGCCGTCCGCATGCGTCCCGCACACCCATTTCGGCACACCCCTCACACGTTTCGTGGCCCCACAGGGAGCTCCACCGAAGGCCCCAGTGCTGCCGTCCGCATGCGTCCCGCACACCCATTTCGGCACACCCCTCACACGTTTCGTGGCCCCATAGGGAGCTCCACCGAAGGCCCCAGGGCATGCTCCACCGAAGGCCCCAGCTGGCTGCCGTCCGCATGCGTCCCGCACACCCATTTCGGCACACCCCTCACACGTTTCGTCGGCCCCTCACACGTTTCGTGGCCCCACAGGGAGCTCCACCGAAGGCCCCAGTGCTGCCGTCCGCATGCGTCCCGCACACCCATTTCGGCACACCCCTCACACGTTTCGTGGCCCCATAGGGAGCTCCACCGAAGGCCCCATGGCTGCCGTCCGCATGCGTCCCGCACACCCATTTCGGCACACCCCTCACACGTTTCGTGGCCCCACAGGGAGCTCCACCGAAGGCCCCAGTGCTGCCGTCCGCATGCGTCCCGCACACCAGGTGTGTGGCGTGCCGACATGGGCGTCGCGGCGCGCGGGCGCTGCCGTCGGGGTTCCCAGGGAAGCCCCCTGCAGAGGCGACGCTCAGAGTCACGAGTACCGAGAGTCACGCAGACCCAAACTGTTCACAGTCGTATACATACATTTACACTGGGCGTATCCATGCACGCATTCATGCGAATAGAATCAATCGCGCGCAGATTCATTCATAATCAGACTCGCTCGCGATCCGACTCGCACGCGCTCAAGCTTTCATATTCGGACCTATCGTCTTCGTTCGTGTTGTGTACACTGCCACGCATGTCGGCACACCCCTCATACGGCTCGTGGCCCCATAGGGAGCGCCACCGAAGAAGATATTCACAATTGCGGTACTCTCAACTGCATATGGTTGGGTCCTTCGCCAGGCTAATTTTGTTTTGTTTTCCGATGCGCCCCTCTGGCACTCACTTGCGCGCGCACGCTGCATTTACTCAACGTACCTTCATTCCATCCTGTCTGCTGTCTCTGCTTCCCTTGATGTAGTCTGGATCAAAGGTTTCATTGGATGTGCTTGCAGCATTGTTCCGACAGTCGGCCGTCTCTGCCCTTGCGAAGGTTCCCTTACGGCTGCGGCATGGCCCCGAAGGTAGCCGCGTGCCGATCTCAAGAGGATTCGGCCGCTCCCTCAGGGGCGCTCTCGTGGCGGCGTGGCCACGCAGTGACGGTGTTGCACACCATCCAGTCTTTGCCGCTGCAAAGGGCGCCGCCGCGGTCTGCCTGACGCAGCTTCCTCAGCGCTCGCGCCCATGGTAGGCACGACGCGAACTGTCCCCGCCGCCCCCGACGGTTCTTCAGCTCTTTGCCCGCTGTGGTCTGCGGCAGCTACCTCTCCGTGCTCAAGCACCTGGCGCTGACCCAGTCGTCGGCGTTGGGCTATCGTTTGTGCCCACACGCCTTCCTAATTCCGCCCGCCGCATCTTCTCTCGCGACGGTATTCCAGCAGCTGCCTGCCGCTTGCTTCTGCACTCAGAGCCCTGGTCCGAGCTTGATGGAACTAATGCGTACCACCATCCACCACGGCTTGAATGCCCTTGCCGACACTCTGGGGTTGTCTTCGACCGCAGCAACATCAGCAACAATCCCAAGAGCCGCTACAGCAGCAAATGCTGACACTCCCTCGCTTCCATGCGATACTGGTGGTTCTTTCTGCATCGCGCCCTGGCCCAGTCTCAGAAGGGATACTTGGGAAATCCCAGTTGATGTGGATGCCACTTTTTTGCTTGGCCCCAGTGGAACCGCCGAGCGACGGGGAGGTCCTGAGGGCTCGATCGAGTTTCATTTTTTCGCTGCCACGGAGCGCTGCCCCCATTTCTCGGTATGATCCCCAATCGCAGCTGCTGACTGCGCAGGGTCTGACTGCTCGTCACCCCCTTCTTGCTGATCACTGCTGCCGGCGCTGCGCTAACTCCTCAGCTGATCACCTCATGGTTCTTCCGTCCTCCCTCTCACCGTCGACCCAAACACAAAGCGATACCACCCCACTTACTTACGGTCCTTCATGTCGCGCTACGGCCCATCGGGGTCCGCAGCGTATGCCACGCAACAGCCCACGATTGGTGTATGCTACCGTGGTTTTCGAAAAAAAACGCCCATCTCGAATACGTGTTGAAGGGGGTCCAACCCCCTGGCCCCAATTTCAAAGTTCGGGGCGGTCGGCGCGGGGGAGTAAAAAAACGCCCAAATTTGCAAACCGCGGCCTGCTCCCTCAGATGGTTTGAAATTGGGGGCGCGGGGGGCGCCCTTGCGCCATCTTCTAGGCGTTGTACTTGGGCGTTTTTTTCGAAAACGCCGGTAAGCCCCCTGGGGCCGTAGGTGGGGTGGTGTCGCTTGTCTTCTGGTCCATCACCTGCTTTCCCAGTCCGCCCTTCCTCCCCTGCCTGTTGCCCGCTTGCCGCAGCACGACCTGCTCGGCTGGCTGTTGCACTGGAGCCTCCGTCCCTGGGGACGGTCTCTCGTGCGCAGAGGGTGAGGCCGGTTGTCGGCTCATCTCCCCTTGTCGTCCTTGGACGAGTGGACACGTGATATTGCGCCTTCACCACGGCAGAGGAATCATGGTCAAATCGCTAACAGTCGATACTCCTTGTCGAACTCTGGCCTTCGACAGCGAGGGTGACACGTCCCAGGTTGTTGCCCCGTTATCCCTCGGTGACGCCCTTGGAGAAGTTTATACCATCTGGGACCCTCAGACCTGTGCAGTGCGTGCAGCTTGTATACGGTGGAGACGTTTGTTAAGGAATAGTCCCAGGAGGCGCCAGACCCTGGAGCATTCCTTATCCAATGAGGGCGGCGGTGATATCCATGGCCACTCCACGATTGCAGTTCCACTGGTTTCCAGACCCGGAGTCCTTATCTTAGGGTTCTTTTTCCAATGCCCACGCTATACCACGCTTCTGATCATGTCGCGCCCACGTCGCGCGCGAGCTATGCGAGCTTGCGCTTGCGCGAGCGTCAGTTCCACGGTGAGGATGACTTCTCCCAGCTCTTTTGTTTCCTCTCTCCCCGCCGGAGGCAACTGGGCCATGCCGAGCCTCTTGAACCCCACGCGGTAGCTTGGAGCGTCGAGCGTTAAGTCGGGCGTGCCCCTCCACAGGAGGAATTTTCAAAAGTAGTAAAGGATCCGTACGGGGACGATTTTTTTGAAATTATTTTTGGATGATTTGGGGTATTTTTTGACCATCTTCCATTTTTCGTCCAAAATCTCCCTTCAGGAGGACGTGCCCGACCTAACGGTAGCTTGGAGTGTCGAGCGCGAGTTTCATGCCAGGGCGAGGCGCAGGGCAGGCGATCTCAGCAGCCCCCCCTGGCCAGAAGACTCGGCCAACACCAGCTGCCACATCTCCTCCCCTGCACCCTGTCAGCGGCCGCCGTCCTGGCTCTGCTGGGCGCCGCACCATGGAGAGAACGCGTTCGAGCCCAATCAGCTTCCCAGTCATGCGACGTCCCGATTTTTTTTTTCAGGACGGCGTCCCCTGCAATCCATACCCTTTCCCTGGGGCC